AACCTGCAAAAACAAGGAAAACCAAGCATAAAACCTATCCAACTCTCTTATTTCCAAAACATAAGCAAAAGCATGATTTCAAGCTAGTTTCTAAGTCATAAAGGTTGTTTTTGATGTCAAAATTAAGTATAAAAATAACAGTTTTTCAATTGTTATCAGAGTGTATAACGAGCCTGTGCCAGTTGTGCTACTAGCTCGTGTCAATTGTTGAGTACCCATCCTTCTGAACCAATCTCTCTTCTGCTTAGGATTCTTAGAAGCCATTACCTCTGAAAAATAACATAAAATTTAGCAAGTTAACACTCGCCGATTATCAAGTGTAAATAGACTTAACTTACCAAACACATCATCACAAAAGGTTAAAGACTCGTAACATTATAAGAGCCGTTAAGGAGAGAGACAACGAGAAAGTTGATTAATGATCTCTAAGACTGCCACTTCATCAAGTATCATTGTTGACGGGTGTTAGGAGGTCAACCTCTTAGGACCTTGGGTCTCATAGAGTGGAAGTTTCAGTCGATCATTTATATAAAAAAAAAATGACTGACTGGCCTCCGTAATCCTAACCTTAAAGTATCTGGTCTTAAATCTTTTGAAAGAGACTGCATACAAAGAAAGCAACCCCCTTCTCCTTCGCAAATATCAAAGATACCTAACTCTTCTTAGCGACCGAGCGGGTACATAAATGGTAAAGGAAAAAGGGAGGTGTGAGAGTTACATCTAATGCTAAACACAACACCTTGAAGGCCTACAGCCATGCTCAACTGTTCGGATTCAATTGGGTGGGCGCTACATTCAACTCTCACAACACGCCAATCTGAAATTTGTTGAATGGAACATGAACGAGAAAGTCATTGAATAAACAATAGTACATGTAGAAGAAATCTACAGGACAATCTTCTTTTCCTTGGAAAACTCGCTCATTCTTTTGCAGACACACAAAGCAATCACATTAGCACTTAGACCGTCTTCAACAATATAAAATACCACTTGACCCATTGATAAAAACTATCGTCCCTAGCGAAAGTGTGATACATACTCACGAACATTGTTTGATGCCTAGTAATGGTTAGGAATAACTAGGAGATTTAACTCGTCCTCCTCATTAGACACATCGACGTTCATCTCAACATTTGGGTTCTCTTTACTATCAGAAGAATAAACTTTATTCTTTGTATACACTTGTAGTTGTATTGTTGACCCAACCCAAGCTCCGCTCAATTGATCTCTAAACTAGAGAAGCCACTGACAATGACATCGATGAAGATGATGCATCATCCACGTACTCCTATCGCTCACACTAAAAGACTCCTCAGAGGAAGAAAGACAAACGGTAGACATTATTACCTCTAACTCGTAAGCGATCAATTGAGCTATTAACAAGTTGCAAAAAAGATGAAAATAACATACCAAACCCACCCTTATTTACAAAAGCATGGACCTTTCCCGTTCTTCATCCTTAGCTGTTAAATCAACTTGCATCCAACGATCTAAAAAGGCCCAACGTTTCGCATTCTCACAAGCATGAATATCAAGACATTACGCCTCTTCTTGACAGTAATAATTTGAGATGAATAGTCACAAGGGTAGGCACCACAAATACCAAATGGTCAGTGAAACCCCTTCGCAAATTTAAAACTAATGCTCAATCTTAGGAGGCTTATGTATTGTATGACCTTATAATCAATTACAACCTGGATGGTCAACTATAGGCCTAAATGGTCAACCATCAAACTGACTACGAATCACGAGCCTGAATGAACAACCAAACTACCCACGCGATGCGATAATGAGTTTGGACAATCACCAAGAAAACCAGACGACTAAGAACTAGCTTATATGGTCAAGCACGAGCTCGAAAAATAGGTCATCAAGCTTGGACGGTCACCAAATAGACTGATCAGTCATACATGAAACCGGATGGTCAACCACTAACCCGACAAACAAGTCGTTGAGCCCATGCAGTCACAGATTGTCCAACCTTGCATTAAACTGATCAAACTAAACAAGTCCAAGGAAAATCAATCCTAAAATCAATTAACTTAAGATTAAAGTATAATTATTTACGTTTGGGCCGTAATTAGACTAACTTTAATCAAAAGTCTACTACAAAACTTAAAAATAAATGTTTAATATATGAAGGTAGGTTACGTGAATTAATTTATAACATTTATTACTATCTGTTTAAGTTAAATTGACTTTGACATCGAAGTAATAGTGTTGTCAAAACGGGTCATCCAACATAGTGAGTCAATCCAACCTAGTTCATTTATTTGCGAGTCGAAAAATTTGAACCCGACCCGACCCACCACAAGTTGGTGGGTTAAACGCGTTGGCTCAGTGGTTTACTTAATTACAATTTTTTTTCAAATAAAAAAAATACAACTTTTTTGTAATTCAAATCTAAATTAATTTTACTCTAAAATAACGTTAAACTCCAAAGATAATTCAAAATAAATAAAGAATCATATAACTGAAATGTAATTAAAAAACAAACACAAAAAGCGAACAAATAAGTTTCTAATATTGATAATTTTTATGTCACTTATCGATTTATAAGATTAGACTCTTGAATGGATAAATCTATAATATTTTGCTCTCTTAAAACATCATGTTTGTCTCCTCTACAATACAATACAAAAAAGTGTTAACTAATAATATTAAAATACAAAGTAAAAAATAATTAAATTAAATTAGGTGGGTTGGTGAGCCAACCTGACTCATCACGCGTTTAACCTGGGTTAGTCGGGTTCTAAGTACGTTGGGTTGAAAATTGACCCGTATAAAAATTTACAATTTTTTTTAAACCTAACTTAGTCTGAACCAATAATAAGTTAGATTAGTCCGCAAATTCTAACTCATTTTGACAATATTATAAAATAGTAGTGTCGTCAAAATGGGTTGAAACCCGTGAGTCAACCCAGCTCACCATGGGTTTGAGCCGGGTTGGGTTGGAAAAAAATACAAAAGTTTTTATGCGAGCCAATTTTGTTTGACCCGGCTCACTAAGAACCCGGCTCACACGGGTTGAACCCGTGGTGGGTTGAGTTGACTCACCAACCCACCTATTTTCTTAATTAAATTAAATTAATTATTCAAATCCTATTTTTTTTATTGAAATCAAATTAACTAAATTAATTATTCAAAATGCAAAACTTTTACTTAGCAATAGAGCCTTTCGCGCTACTGTCTTTCCAAAACTTCCCCTCTGCAAATAAAACCCTAAGATTATAGATTGGATAATATTATAGATGGAGATAAAAAATAAGATGCTTCAAGAGAGCATAATACTGTGAATTTATCAATTTAAGACTCCAATTTAATAGATGGATAATATTATAGATTGGATAATTCAGGAATATATCATTTGTTTTATCTTGTTTTTAGACCTATCTACAAGCATGACCGTTTTATCCTATGCTATATATTTTTGTTAATGGCTATATGTAGTTTTTTGGTCAAACGGTTGTGTATGTCTCATTAAACTAAATTGGCAAAATTTTATGCTTGATAGCTTATAATATATATAACAATATATTTCTTTTGTTTCATTTTCTTTTATAGGCTTAAATGCTTACTTTGTCCCTATGTTAAGAGGTGAATTTCTGTTTAGTACCCGGTTTTAAAAATGCATCTATTGAGTCCCAAAGTTGTATAAATTTTATAAATGAAGTCTTGTCCGTTAAATTGGCTTAAACAGAGTTAACTTCACGCTGACGTAGCTATAAAATCTGACTTTTTTTCTTCTCTCTCTTTCTTTTTACAAATTTTCAGCTTTTTCTCTCTCTTCTATTTCCAATCATTCATCTCCATGGCTCTCTTCTGGGCTTTTGCACCAAAGTAGGCAAATATGCCTTCTTTATTACCAAAATAGGCAAAATTTGACCGAAAGTGAAGTCGTGGGGGGCCGAAACGACTTCAAAAGAAGAAGTCGTGCCCCCCACGACTTCCCCATTTTCGTAATATGGTTTGAATTTGCCCATTTTGGTAATATTAGAGGCATATTTGCCTACTTTGGTGCAAAAGCCCTCTCTTCTGCAACTCCTTCTTCTCTCCCTCTCTTCTGCATCGTCTCTCACATCTTCCTCGTCAATCACTCAATTTTAAATACATTCATTTATTTGATTGATTAGTGTATTTAATTAGGAAATGCAAGATTAAAGGCGGGCGGGTATGGGTGGAGGACATCGTTGGCTTTGGCAAGGGTTCCAATTTAAGCTGCAGTAGTCTAAATCTTAAGTGAACTCCTTATGACTTATAGTATTCCTTTTATTGAATAAGCAGAGAGATGCATTTCATTTTGTAGACAATAAAGAAAAGCAAAGATGGTTGTTTGAAGAACTTATCTGTAATTATTTTTAGTAAAAAGATAAAAGAATATTAATTATAACTTATAAAAATACTTTACTTTTTTTTCTCCGAGAGAAAATTATCCACACAAATCCAAGATAAATATTTCCACACAAATCTTACATTGTTTCTTTTGAATGAATAGATATGAAGAAAAGGTTTTTTTTTACTCTAAACTTTAAATAATTGTACTCGTGTCGGCATATAGATCCCACGAAGCATGCACACTTTGACCCTTTTGCTTATAAAATTATTTGAGCATCCAGTAAACATTTTCATACATACTTTTTTGTTGGATGCTACGCATTCAAAGTAAGGACTTGGTATTGTTTTATAGAGCAGTAAATTAATAATTTCTTCCTAGAGTGATACGTAGCTGACATGGTCTTTCTATAACACAAGCAGGAACGAATTCATAGGAGTTTCTGAATTTAAAAAAGGATACAAATTATAATCACAATACGTTAATCAAAATTTAAAGCATTTCACCTGAACAAGAACAATTCAAAGCATTAAGAACACGCATGGCCCAGTCTCAGTTTTATAGTTTCTTCCGTTCCCAAACATATGTGACCTCTTCCTCCAATTCTATGATAAAGTTTCATTTTATACAGGTGCCAAACAAATTTTGTTTATAAAAGTATCAACAACACAAATCTTACTCACCAAATTCATCTCTGAAAGAACGCAAACACAATGGCCGTTTTTGTTTCCTCAAGGTTGCATTCCTATGTTTGTTGCCTCCTTTTCATAATCATATCTCAAGCCAGCGCGCAGCCAAGTTTCTTAGATTACTTCTGTCTCAGTGATAAAGGCAGCTTCACAGCCAACAACACTTATCACACCAACCTCAACACCCTTTTGTCCAATCTCACTTCTAACACACAGATCAACTATGGTTTCTACAACCGCTCCTACGACGAAAACAATGAGAAAGTATATGACATTGGGTTGTGTAGAGGAGATGTTAAAGCAGATGAATGTCGTAGCTGCATAAACAATTCAATGGTCCTCCTCACACAGCTTTGTCCAAACCAGAAAGAGGCAATTGGGTGGTATGACAAGTGCATGTTGCGTTACTCAAATCGCTCAATATTTGGCCTCATGGAAACTTCACCTTTGTTTTATACGTTGATGTTAGTGAATGCAACAAATGTGGACCGGTTCAATCAAGTGTTGGACAACTTGGTGGAGAATCTAACAGGCATAGATGTTGCATCAGGTGACTCTCGTCGTAAGTATGCTGCCGGAAATGCAACTGCAACACATTTAGAAACCACCATATATGGTGTTGCGCACAAAATAATTCGTTAGACATTCATAAATATCTAGCATGATCTTTGCACACAAAATTAATTGACGAGAAAGATGTGAGGGACGATGCAGAAGGGAGGGAAAGAAGAAGGAGTTGCATAAGAGAGCCATGGAGATGAATGATTGGAAATAGAAGAGAGAGAAAAAGCTGAAACGTTACAGAAAGAACAGATGAGAGAGAAGAAAAAAAGTCAGATTTTTAGTCACGTCAGCGTGGAGTTAACTCCGTTTAAGTCAATTTAACAGAGGGGACTTCATTTATACAATTTTGGTTTAATCCTTTTCGACATCCCTATTTATGTACGAATGTCTCAGATGGGTCCTCGTTTTTTAAAGTGTATCAAAATGGTCCTTAATTTTGAAAATTGATATCAATTGAGTCCTTTCCGTTAAGTTGGCTGGACGGCGTTAAAAAAATTGATGAGTGGATGCTGAGATGACGAACGAACGCTCGTCCACCAGCGAACGAACGCTCGTCCATCAGCGAACGAACGCTCGTCGACCACCGAACGAACGGTCGTCCAGTGTGGAACGAACGGTCGTCCCCCTCCAGCAGTAAGAGGTCGACGAGCGTTCGTTCTCTGGGGAACAGCGCTCGTTCGCTGGTGGGACGAGCGTTCGTTCGCTGGTGGACAAGCGTTTCGTTTCGTATCTCAGCATCCACTCATCAATTTTTTTAAAAACGTCGTCCAGCCAACTTAACGGAAAAGGACCTCAATTGATATCAATTTTTCCAAATTAAGGACCATTTTGTACACTTTAAAAAACGAGGACCCATCTGAGACATTCGTACATAAATAGGGATGTCGAAAAGGATTAAACCTACAATTTTTACAACTTTGAGACTCAATAGATGCATTTTTAAAATCGGGTGCTAAACAAAATTCACCTCCTAACATGGGGACGAAGTAAGCATTTAAGCCTTCTTTTATATCAATTGGTTCAATTATTACTGTTTCAATTTGATCGATCAAAGTAACATGTTATAAGAATCTGAGAAGAAGGGGGTGAAAAAAAAGTTAATTAAGACCTTGTTCACTTGAATAGATTTGGGGGAGTGATTGAGGGGTATTTGAGAGGTTTGAAGTTAATTTTTTTGTTGTTTTTTTTTGAGGGGTTTTGAAGTAGTGAGGTGAATTTGGAGTAAGTTTGTGATAATTAGTGTAGGATTTGATTGACGTAACAGATTAAAAAATTTACTTCTAAATCTAGTCTCATGTACCTCCAAATTACTCAAATAAATAAACAAAAAATATTTACCTTCAATATCCTCTCAAATCCCCTCAATCACTCCCCCCTAAATCCATTGAAATGAACAAAGCCTAAGTGAGTCAATGAGACAACCCGTTTAATCCACCAATCCTAGCGGGTTGGATTGACTCACTAAGTGGTCACCTCATGGTGGATGGGTCGGGTCGGATCAGGTTACCCGTCTTTTGACAACTCTAAATATCCTCTACCGATAACATCCGACCTTGTTTTATGTACAAGATACCGCTCACTTATAAACAATTAGGTGTGAGAAAACACAACAGTCGAACGATGACCTTCGCTTCATACCTAAAACATCTACCAAACTCACTTTTTATTTCTAAGATAATTCTTCTCCAACAGTCGAACAGGATTTCATGGAATGAGCAGTCACTTATCTACCGAAATATAAGAATTAGTATTTTAATGTAGAAAATAGTTGCATATGATAAATTGATAAATTATATTTTCATAAATTTGCATATTTTGAATAAATGTATTATAATTTCTGATCGATTGACAGATATTTTTTCAATTAAAAAATAAAGAAAACTCGATGAAAAGCAAAAATCATCGAGATTAATTTAAATATATTTAGAAAGAGTGGTTTGTAACAAGTGCCTAAATTAATGGTCACAGCAATAGCTTGTGTTTTCAACAATTTAAGCACAAATTAAGCAAAACTCATTGTTTGTGTTATTATCATTTTGAATTACACAAATAAAATAATAAAAATAAGAATACACAATAAAATACCGGTATGTTATCATTTATTATCTCTTTCTCACTTACAAAAACATAAACACAACACACCATATATATATATATATATATATATATATATATATATATATATAATATAATATATTATATATATATATATATGTACTGATAGGGTCCTCCCCCAACATACCCAAGGTGGAACGTCCCGCCCCAGAATCTGGACCAAGTGTCCACGAACGGCCAATCATTTAGGAAGCGACGTCCGCCCAAGTTTGGCACATCCGCCCAAATAATCTGGACCGAGCGTCCACCATTTCCAGAACCGGAACGCCTACCCCAAAGTAGAACGTCCCGTCCGAGATTGGACGTCCCGCTCAAGGTAGACCACTCCGTTCCCAGAATCTGGACCAAGTGTCCAACGAACGGGCCAATCATTTAGGAAGCGGACGTCCGCCAAAGGGTTGGCACGTCCGCCCAATAATCTGGAACGAGCGTCCAGCCATTCGAACCGGACGCCTAACACCCAAAGTAGAAACACGTCCGCCCGAGATTGGACGTCCGCGCCAAGTGGAACCGTCCCGCCACAAGAATCTGGACCGAACGTCCAACGAGCGGCCAATCATTTAGGAAGCGGACGTCCGCCCAAGGTTGGCACGTCCCCCAATAATCTTCTGGACCGAGCGTCCACCCATTCAGAACCGGACGCCTACCAAAGTAGAACGTTCCGTCCGAGATTGGACCGTCCGCTCAAGGTGGAACGTCCGCCACAGAATCTGGACCAAGTGTCCCAACGAACGGCCAAATCATTTAGGAAGCGGACGAACCGCCCAAGGTTGGCACGTCCGCCCCAATAATCTGGACCGAGCGTCCAGCCATTTTAGAACCGGACGCCTACCCAAAGTATAAACCGTCCGTCCGAGATTGGACGTCCGCTCAAGGTGGAACGTCCGCCCCAGAATCTGGACCAACCTGTCCAACGAACGGCCCAATCATTTAGTAAGCGGACGTCCGCCCAAGGTTGACACGTCCCCGCCCCCAATATTCCTGCTACCGAACATCCAGCCTTTTCCAGAATCAGGCGTCCGCCCAAGTTTGGCTTCGTTCCGCCCAAGTTTGGCTCGTCCCGCCCCGAGCGTCTACCATGGTGACCATTAGGCCCGTCCATCATCATAATTTATGAACGATCCATTATATCATATGTATATAAACCTATATATAACATTATATATAGTGATTATATATATAATATAATAACAAGAGTATATATATATATGTCACATATAATAGTTAAATATATGATATGTAATTATAAGGTATATATATGTATATATTGCCATATAATATACATATATATATATATATATATGTATGATTTCTATACTCTACTTAGTGCTCTTATATATCATCTTCATATACTCTCCTCCATCCATTCATCTCTCTGCCCCCCTCCCTATCTATATTATGGGTTTGCTAACACGCGCCGTACGCTGTTTTTCCCGTTGGTATATTTTAGCAATGTGGTACCGGGTTTTAGTATGAAACCAAAAATATCCTTTATATAATGGATTCCTAAAGTTTTTTTTAAGGGTAAGGGTTATTTTTAAAATTAATATATTGTTTCAAACTCAGAAACAAAAAAAGATAAGAAACCCCCAAATAAAAAACCCTTACTTTATCACCTGTCTCAAATTCCCTCTCAACCTTTCCATAATCATCTTTTCATCACTTTTCCAATCTTTTTCTATCTGTATTCCTACTGTAGCACTAATTGAAAAAATCAAAAAACACTCTGTAATCCAATCTACAAAAAAATTATATTTTATAATGAGTTTTCCATCTTATAAATTTTTTGTTTTTTTATCTAATTTTACATATCTAATTTTCACAAGCATAAAGGAATTGGTATTTATTGACCTGGAAAAATCAAGAAATACTACTCTCGGTTTAAAAAACATTTCTTTACAAAAAAATGATTTTATAATGAGTTTTTTATTTTAATAATTTTGTCTTTATCTAATTTTCACAAGCATAATGACTCAAAGGAATTGATAATTGGCCTGGAAAAAAAATCAGAAACACTCATTCTTAAACATTTTTTTTTACAAAAAATGACTTTATAATGAGTTTTCATTTTAATAATTTTTGTCGTATATAATTTTATAATCTAATTTTCCACAAGCATAATGACAAAAAATCAAGATTGGTAATTGGCCTTGGGGGTTTTTTTTAGAGATGTTTGATTCAACATATGCAGATGATGAAATTAGAGAGGTTAGTGAAGATATGAAATTGAAGAGATCAAATCTTTGAATGAAGCTTTGCCTAAAGGTTGGATATGTTCAATGACTCAACTCCTTTAACAAAGGCAAATTGTTCAAAGGCAGGTGTTTTCTGATTTTTTCATTAGAGTTATAGTAGGAATGACAAGAAAAGGTTGGAGTGAGAGAGATGAAAAGAAAAAATTGAGAGGAATGAGAGAGGTGAGTAAGGGTTTGGGGGGTTTCTTTTTTTTTTTTTTTTTAAGTTTGAAGAAGGAAAATTAATAAAATATCCTTACCTTAAAACTTAGAATCCATGATATATAAGGGTATTTTTGTCTACTAAAATCCGGTACACATTGCTAAAATGTACCAACTGAAAAACAGGCGTACGCGCGTTAGCAAACCCCCTATTATATATATATATATATGTATATATATATATAGTATGTAATATATTGTATATATGTATATATGTATATTGTATATATTGTATATATGTATTGTAATGTATATGTATATGTATATAGTAAAT